TATTTATTCGCTCCCATGAGGTTCACCCCGCTTAATTTTCCTTCGAGCGCGAGCCAGAGCCAAAGAGAGATCAGAGAGAGAAATTAAGAGAGAGTACAGACAGGTTAGCCAGATCGAGTTAGAGATGGAGACGATGATGGCGGCGGTGGCGATCAAAGATCCCGCGGTGGTTGTCGGTCTACAGAAGCCGAATCGGATTCAGGTCTCCACCAATAAAAAGCCTGTTTACTTTTACGTAAATCTCGCCAAGGTATCGCGTTTTGATCTTCCACCGCATTTTTATCTTTGTATTTTATTAGATTTAGCCTTCTATTGATCTCTGCTATGACCGCGGTGATCTGCATTACGCATTTGGTCATCTTCGTTTATAGATCGGGCATTTTTGCTCTTCTTGGATGTTTCATTGCTCTTTTTTCGATCTTGCTCCATCAACTGATTTTCTTGCGTTTGTGATTAGATTGTCTAACGATTATGCTTTGCTAACGCGGTTTTAATCGGCTGATTTGCATAGAGGTTTATGGAGCGCCACAACGAGGTCGAACTTTCTGCCCTCGGCATGGGTATGTTCTTCCGATCTTGAGAAATGTCTTTTCAATTCGTTGAAGCAATATCAATTTCGCTTTCTTCTTCTATTTCACGTTTCGGAATGTAAAGATTCTATTTAGCTTTTCGCAATCTCGAATTTTGATTCTATTTCCTACTTCTTTCTTGTAAACACATATAAGCGTTTAGCATTCAAGATTTCTCATGCCCCGCCATGTATTATTATTAGACTCTTTTACCCTTGATTATGTTATTATACTCGTCTTCAATTTTCAGCCATCGGCACAGTCGTCACCGTCGCCGAGATACTCAAGAACAACGGCCTGGCTACTGAGAAGAGTAATTGATTAGGCCTCATCCTCTACCATTCGGTCCATTCCCTCATTAAGCTCTTTAAAAAAAAGAACTAAAATAAAATTTCGCATTTTCTTTTGAAACAGAGATCATGACCTCTACTGTTGGCACCAAGGACGAAGCCAAGGGCCGTCTTGTTCGCAAAGCCAAGGTCTGTTTTGTACATAGATAATCTTTTAATCGGTTATTACTAGTAATAGTTACACCTACAAAAACTATAAATATATTGCTGTGCTATAGATTGAGATCTTGCTGAGCAAGACGCAGAATTCGAGTGATCTTATCACGACTGCCAAGACAGAGCGCAGCGCCAACAGCAATGCAACGACGGCCAAGGCCGCTAATAAGGCCGGTGAGGAAGCAAGGGATGAGGACGGACGCAGCGTGCAGGAAGCGGAGGAGATCAGCGAATGATCTTTTGCCCAGAACGGGCATGTTCCAGTGGAAGAGGAACTTCTCTGTCGTCAGTTCTTTGACATTTCATTAGCAAATAGCAACATAGTTCTCATTTGTTTTTTCTCTTATGGTTCAGTTGCATCCAGCTCTATCCCTTCAACCCTTGAGATTGTTTTACTTCTGCATAAGGCAGTGGTTTTCCTCTCCTTTTAATACAATCTTCCTCTGTTTCTTTTGAAAATGATGAGGCTTATCCCAATTCCATTAAGAGAAATCAATTACAAAGTGAGATAGAATAATAGAGAAAGGGACATCATTGATACAAGCACCAATCCATCAACGAATGGTTGTGGCTAAAACCCTTTTCGAGCTATCATATAAAGAATGGAGGACTTGTTACCAAGTCAAATGCTTTCCTTAGCTCAAGCTTTATACAAAAGCTCGTGATTGGAGAGAGAGATGAAGTTATGGGTGACTTCATGCGCCAGTGCAATATTATCCAAAACATATGAGAGATTATTATATGCGGATGCTGAACGCAATTCATCATCCGGAGATCAACCAGAATGTGTCACGTCAGCAGTACCGAGCCCAGTACCGAGCCGAGTACCTAGCAGGAGGTGATGTGTCACATTCTGATTGATCATTGGACGGTATTCAGCATTTGCATAGAATAATTTCACCATGCTACATAAGGGTGGATTGAGCATGGTCGGTGACATAAGGTAGCACCAGCTTAATTTTGTTGGTCAAGACCTTAGTAACAACCTTTTAAAATGTATTTTCAATATAGAGATTTATATATAACCCACCAAGGAATTGGAATGCTTGACCTTAGGGATCAAGGTAATAAGATTTTTCTTAATAATATAAGTCAATTTAGAGGTATTGAATTGAGATTTTTTAAGATTAAAGTTAACATCATAGCTTAAGAGGAAGCTATCTTTTAATTATTTAAAAAATTGTGCTACAATATATTTTAGATATATTTTGGACTTATGATGTAGTTGTGATTAATTTCAAATTAATTAGTTGCTATTTTAATTTTGAATGTGATTATTTATTTTATGATTTTTACTTTGATGGGTTTCAAATTATAGAAAATATTAAAATTGTTCAAGAAATTAAATTTATTATGTCAAAAAGTTGAGATAAAATTAAATTTCCATTTCATAATATACTGCATTTATTTTATACTCATACAAATAAAAATAATAATTCTCTTATATTTACTTTAAAGATAGCCAAACAATTAGGAGTATACAAAATACACTACAATTACCTAACTTTGTATTCCAAATACAATTAAATTCTAAATACAAACAACTGAACAGCTCTATTGGCTAATTTAAAAATCTCTTAAAATTAACTAAAACTTCATTTGGGACGGCTTTCTTATAGTTTCTTAAATAAGTTTTTCAGAATAAGAATTTTAATTTTATACTAGAAAATTATTTTAATAAGTAATAAGAAAGCTATCCCAAACGAAACCTAAATGAGAAATTCCAAAAGCTTATGAAATTACTTTAAATTTATTTTTTATCCAAACAAATAATATCTAAATTTTAAAAACTCCATATTTAATTTACTGTTTAGTCCTAATACCAAAAAAATAAAAAAACCATTTATCTCAACTAAATATCTAAAAATTTATAACCCATATATTTATTTTTGTTAGACAATCATAATATATCTCGTATTTATGGAAAAGGATAGAAAGCCTGAAGCCTCTAGCACTAATCAACACATAGCACAAATGCAAAACAAACCAAACAAAATACATGAACATTTTGAATCCCGTGTTTGATGTTTTCCCAGCTTTTCCAATTGGAAATTTTCATCTTTACTTTCTTTCTGATTTTCAGCACAATGGTAGAAACACTACCAAAAGTCCCACCAAACCTGCTATCATTCCTCTCCCTCAAAATATGATAAACAGAGTAGCAAGAATTAGGAAGTATAGATTTTTAATGCCCGCATGGGAACAAGCCAGATCTTCAACAATCTCAAATACTTGGAAGTAAATTTGGCTTGAGTAAGAAGAAATTAACAGTAGGCGATAGGGAAATCAAAACAAAAAATGGATACTTGCATTCAAAGAAAAGATCCGAGGAAGACTCCAGGTTATTATGGGAAAAAAACATAAGAAAAAGGAATCTGTATGTTGCATCTAGCTAAAGCATCAGTCATTTTAAGCCCTCCATGAATCCCCATTCAAGTATAAGAAGAAAATCTTAGAGCATAGTATTTGTGCCAAATGAAACTATCCTAGTCACACAAATTTTTATCCATATGAACACCCGAATGAAAGAGGAAAAGGAGCAAGTAACCGCATTCTCCCAAAATAGGCAGCTAGAGGATTATGGTTGATTAGGGTTGGACTCAATAAGTCCCCGAGTAAAGCAATCCCATAAAGATGAAATGTCCATTTATGATCCACAATCAGACAACTAAGAGTAGCATTTTGAGGTATATTGGGCAAGGCAAAGGGGATTCAACTGAAGCTCGATTATACATTTCCCTTGACACAAATGATCCCAATGTAGAGAAATATTAATGTTTACATTAATAGAGAAAAAAAAATACTCTCCTTGAAAAGTACAACGGAGGAATAAATGCATTTCTAGATAAGAGAGAAGTGTTGAGAGGGAGGTTTCCACTGTGAAAAGTATCTAGAAATGAACCACTTGAAAAGGGGGGAAGAGGTGTTATACAGTCTGCATATCAGAGAGAAATTGAAGGCAAACTGAAGGGCCGGGACACCTCCCCCCCCCCCCCGCAGGCCCCCCCCCCCCCCCCCCCCCAACACACACACACACAAAGTGCATAGGTTTACAGGTGCTATTCCACGAAATGAGGTGGAATTTTCTGGTCTATGAGTCAAAGAAATAAAGGAACTTAGAATAAAAATTTCCAATTAACTTGCTAATTGCTTTTGATATGATAGAACCTCTAATCCAGTAAGCAATGGTATTCTAGAATGTGTAATTCAAAAATTGCAACCTATATGCAAAAGAAAGTAATTTGACTTTCGAGCTAAAAAGTTTATTAGTTATTTTCTCCAAAAGAAGAGAGAATGCAGAGATCCAAAGCCTCTTAGGAGAGACAGGAAGTCCTAAGTAAGTAATGAGGGGAGCGATTCCATGGATTTTGAGAGCCTCACAAAATGGAATACTATTGGTAATATTGGGGGATAAGATCAGAGAATTTTTTTCAAGATTGAAAAAAAGCCAGTGAAGTTGGCAAAAGTGTTAAGGATTCCCATAAGAATGTTGTAGTTGACGATATAAGTCCTCCCAAAAACAAGTAAGTCATTAGCATAAAAGGAGATGAGATAGCTTGAAATCATCATAGCATAAACCATGAAAATCGATAGAGGGAGAATCAATGAGGCAAGAGAAGTTGTCCATAATGATACATAACAAGTATGGACTGAACGGGCAGCTCATCCTAAGCTTAGATTGGGAGGAGAAAAACTCCTCAAGAGAGTCATCAATATATATGAAGAAATGCACATTAGAGATGCAAGCCATTCAACTTATAAAAGTGGAGGGAAATCTTTTTTGTTGCATCATAGCAAAAATGAAATCTCTTGAAATCATGTCGAAAGCCTTCCTTATATCAAATTTGGCACACAATGATTTTAGATTAGAGTTTTTCTTTAAAAGGCATAAGATTTCAGAAGCTAGAAGGGCATTTTTTTGTAGAAATATATTGCTGAAAGAACCCTACTTGACTTGAGTGAATAATAGTAGGCATGGTGGGTTTTATTCTTAAAGCCAAGAGCTTCGCAGTGATCTTGAAAAAAGAATTACATACGAAGATCTGCTTGAAGTTAGAAATGTATCTGACATGAGTTTTCTTATATGAAGATAAGAGAGAATCATCGGTAATAGTATGCCGATAAGAGGAATCATCTCCAAAAGAAGATAAGAGAGAATTCCTATTATGAAAGCTTCTTGTGCGAATTTGGAGTATAAAAACTTAAATCATCAGCCCCACTTTTAAGTCACCTAACTTTTGACCTTTGGAAGATCCAAGAGGTCCAAGTAGCCGTACAATCAGGAATTTGATTAGTAGTAAATTTGAGCTTTTCACAAAGAAGGGAATTTAAGGGATCTGAATCGACCGTCCATTGAAGATATACTTGAATGAAGTGAAGTTCTTCTAGCCTAACCCCAATAGAGGTAGAAGAAGCTCCTTTCATCACTTTAAGCCTCCCTTTAAGATTTTTGAAGGACAAAAGGATTAACTTGAATGGGCCTGGAAAAAATGTGGAGTATATTGGCCCATAACTCGTTTAGCTTATTCCAATAATTTTTGTATAAGAATCTACATGTAGCAATCGAAGGAGCGACAGAGTATAAGACCAAAGGGAAATTATCAGAACGTGATTTGCCCTAGTGTTTTTCTTGTTTTGAGAAGCAGAGGAGGAGGAAGCTTCTGCAACTTTGACTATAATGTCGGCAAAGTATATAGGGTCCTCATGAGAACCAGGAACTCCAAATGGAGCAAAAGATGGGTCCATTCTAATTTTTGTTGTACTCCCAGCAAAATAAGTTGTAACCTCATGAGAACCACGAGCTCTAGAAAGTCCAAGAGACGGGTCCACATAAGAGATGGTATTAAAGGATGTAACTTTTGTATCCTTTAATAGAACATCAAACTAGAACCTAAAACATAAAAATCTAAATCTTAAACCATAAACCTTAATCTCAAAGCTTTATCCTGAGATCCCAAACCCTAAATCCTTAACCACAAAGCCTAAACATAAAACCCTAATCTGTAAAATATAAAAATAAACTTTTAAACATAAAACATAAACCCTAAACATCAGGAAACGAGGCATCCGTAGACAATTAGATGCAAACATGTGGATAAGTGAGGTGGGTATTATTGGCTATGAGGGCATCCACAACAAGTGGGATACAAATTTTGCTAGCAATCTATGATATACCATTAGATGACCAACAATAGAGAGGAAGGTCGAGAATTTTTACCCAAATAGGAACTGAAGTGAACTCCTCTCTAACATGATAGAAGTGCGGGTTCCATTTCTACAATATAAAAGTCTTATCAAGGAAGAACTTGGAGCCACCTGACCAAGCCATGTAATAGTCCTCCAGGTGGGAGAACTTAAGAAGAAAAATTTTCGAATAGGGCAAGGAGTTTCAAAGTCCCTTTCAGTTTCCAGACCTTATGAATAGTGCATTGCAGCTCCTCGTAGTAGGGACGTTTCCTAATCTAATGGGCAACTAGAGATAATGCCCATTTTTCTACCATAGGGGCAACATTCTCAGAGGAGAAGGGGATGATCTCATCAGGGGTTGAAATGAAGGCAACAAGAAGCTCACTGGAGATGGGGGGTATGGGTGGCGAGAGGAACTCGGGGTTGAGTTCGAGAGGGGGTGATAGTCCCTCATGAGAACCAGAATGATTATGCAACTTTGACTATAATGCCGACATAGTATATTAGGTCCTCATGAGAACTAGAAACTCCAAATGGAGCCAAAGGTCCATTCAAATTTTTCTTGCACTCCCAGCAATATAAGTTGTAACCTCATGAGAACCATGAGCGCTATAAGGTCCAAGGGAGGATATGGGCCACAGGGGAGCATGAAGGGAGGCGGCCAGGTTTTTTTGTCTAAGAAGTCCAGTTATAAAATTTACTTCTCCTTCAAACTTTTTTTTTTTTTGGAAAGTTGTAAAAAAAAACTTTCTAACATATTTTTTTTTTTTTGCTTCGCTAGACCATTACTTGAGGCCCTCGCCTTCACCGGACCACCACTTGAAGGCCTCGTCTTCGCCGGACTACCACCAGAGGCCCTCACCTTCACTGGACTATCACTTGTGGCCCTCGCCTTCGCCGGACCACCACCTAAGGCCCAGAGAAGAAGCTCCTCCTCAACCACCGCCATAGTTTCGCCGGACCATCCCCGGAGCTTCGCCAGACCACCACTTGAGGCCCTCGCCTTCACCGGACCACCACTTGAAGGCCTCGTCTTCGCCGGACTACCACCAGAGGCCCTCACCTTCACTGGACTATCACTTGTGGCCCTCGCCTTCGCCGGACCACCACCTAAGGCCCAGAGAAGAAGCTCCTCCTCAACCACCGCCATAGTTTCGCCGGACCATCCCCGGAGCTTCGCTAGACCATTACTTGAGGCCCTCGCCTTCACCGGACCACCATCTAAGGCCCGAAGTTCTGCCAGACCACCACCTAAGGCTCGGAGAAGAAGCTCCTCCTCAACCACCGCCGGAGTTTTGCCAGACCACTGCCGGAGTTTCGCCGTACCACCCCTCGGAGCTTCGCCAGACCACCACTTGAGGCCCTCGCATTCGTCAGACCACCACATGAGGCTCTTACCTTCGCCGGACCACCTAAGGCCCTCGCATTCATCAGACCACCACCTAAGGTTCGGAGTTCAGCTAGACCACCACCTAAGGCCCGGAGTTCTGCCAGACCACCACCTGAAGCCCGAAGTTCTGCCAGATAATCACCTGACACATAGACTTCTGTCGTACAATTGTTACTTGTAATCTGATCGCCCTTGAAGGCAAGTTAGCCCATTGTAACCAACTCAAGTTCTAGTGGAATCATTTTCAACTGAGTCAGACCTTGTGGTTTTTCCTTTTTCAGGGCTTTCCACGTAAAAATCTTGTGTTCTCTGTGTGTGAGCTGGATATCCGTGTAACACTAAGACGTAGCATTCTAACTCTATCGTCGTGTATATTCTAGCCCGTAACAAATATATATCTTTACAATTAGATTTGAAATATATTTTAATTTAAACGAGCAAATCGACAAACTTACGAGTAGACCTAGCTGAGCTCGAGCTCGTATATTACACGAGCTCGTCTATAGGCTCGAGCTTGAAAACTTGTGATTCGATAAGCTCGACTCGTGAGCTCATTAACCAGTCGAGTTTGAGCTGTCTCCTAATCTAACTCGGCTCATTTACCCCCTAATTCCCCGTCTTTTAAGAACACTTTCTAAATTTTATTTTTGGGGCATTAATTATAATTTAATTTATTATTAATCTCTTATTATTATTATTTTTTTAGAAATTCCATTGCTTATCCTACAAAAGTTTTATAATTAATTTTTTATATGGTCTAGAATCCCAAACAGGACATCAGTCTCATAGGCTAAATGCTTTAGGTGTCATCTTTTGATTCGCTAAGGTTAATGGTCCGTTACTCTTAGTATTTGTTTTTAGAAATTCCATTGCTTATCCTACAAAAGCTTTATAATCATTTTTTTTAAATGTTTAGAATCCCAAACAGGACATCAGTCCTCATAGGCTAAATGCTTTAGGTGTCATCTTTTGATTCGCTAAGGTTAATGGTCCGTTACTCTACAGTCTACACATCGGATCCGCAGCCTATTAATAATTGAAATAAACCAACCCCAAAATAAATAAATAAATCCGAAGCCAAAAACGAGAACGGGAAAGATCGGTCATCGGAGACGGAGAAAGGATATTGAGGCGATTGCTTACAAAATTTATATTTTCCTCACTCTATAATAAGTCTTTTATATACGCCGCACAACCCTAACCCCCATCCTATAGTGACCAATGCGGTGTAGAGGAGATCACCGTCCTCGATGAGACCGTCGGTGAGAAGATCGACGATCTCCATCCTCTTCGTCGCGCTTCTCTGTCTCTGCGCGGCCGCTCCAATCGTCCTTATATCGTTCTTCTGGCAGTTATCTCCCTCCTTGGGTAGCCCAATTTCTCTTTTCTTGTTTTTTTTTTTATGCAATGGAGATTTTTAAATTTTATAGCGCGTGCTTTTTTGGGAATAATTGCAGAGCAAAAGGAATTTATTGGCGGGAGTTCGGGCATTGTCAAGAACATCTCCCACGTATGATTATTTTTTGTTTTCGTGCTTTAATATCGTTTGATTATGTGTTAGGAACTTCAGTATTGATTCTATGATGGATGCAGTGGCAATCGGCTGCTTATCTCAATTCGATAGAGCAGGTTTTGTTTTCTAGTTTGGGCTTTTTTATTGAGTGTCATTGAGAGAGCTCTTGTTGCTTTTGTTCTGCTTACTTATTGTATTATGATGGTGAATTCTAGGAAGTTAATGTTGAGATTAAAGAACCAGATGGAGTTATTTTACAAGATGGTGGAGCTACTGTAGATAAAAATGCGAGGAATTCTTCTTCTGAGAATCCTCCTGGCTCTGGTTTAGCAAATGTAGTATTTACCAGCCCATCTAAAAAGAGCGGTCAGTTTAGGAGTCTTTTAATTACTTTTTTACTTCATATGGTTACCATTTTGTAAGGAACTAAAGGCGAGCTCTCTAATTATCACCTGGTGGAACAGGAGTTCAGAAGCGCAACTCAACATCTCCTGGCTTGATGGTATTTCTCTTACAAAACATACATTGCTTATTAACCTTATAGTTTCTTCTTATTTCACAGCATAGGAAAATTGCATGGTCTTCTTTTGTTCATCAAGAAATATGGTAACTTAGAAAACTTGATAATCGTCTTGATCAGGCATGAATCTCAAGGCATATTTGAATTAAAAACTTTCAAAATTAAATTCGGGACCATCCAAACTCCGATCTCAGCAAATTTATTGTCAAACTGAATGTCTCAATAAAATGAACCCAACGACACCAAAATTGATCTAATCCGGGCCCAAAAATCAAAGGACAAAAACATATTTGGAAGTCTAAAGACTCTAATTGTATGATCAAATTATCTCTTGGGATTGGATCTTGGACTACAAATTCAAGAGAGCTCTAAAGTTTAAAGAATCTCGAAGCTCCACTATGGCACCACTCTTGGTGAACCCTCGCAGTCATCGGACTTTCACCAGTCGATCATCATCAGATGTCCACCTTGCCACCGCTGCTGGGCTTAATCCAAATGCCTCCATAGGATCGTCACCCTACTATGATCCTCGGACCACTATTCCCCGATTACAGTCCCTCGACCTCCGTCGTCAGAATATAATCTCTTCGACTATATTTTCCCATCGACCACGGTCCCTCCAACCACTATCGCACCACAATGGTCCATCCGACCTTCGTCGCATGCCTATTATGATCCTTCTGACCTTCATTTCCTGCCGACTACAATCCCTCAAACCTCCGCCGCCTGACAACAATCCCTCCGACCTATGTCGCCTAACTACGGTCCCTCTGATCATTATCGTCTGCCGACTACGATCCTTTTGGACTTCGTCACCCACTGACAACGATCCCTCCAATCTTTGTTGCCCTACTACGATGACCTTGTCGCATGACTACGGTCTCTCCGACCTTATTGCTTGGCTACGGTCCCTCCAACCTTCTCTGCCCGACTATGATCCCTCCGACCACCGTCGCACAATAATGATCCCTCCGACCTCCTGTAGTCCTGTTGACCTCTTTTTTTGGCATCGGTCACTTGCACAATCTTGTCACTTTCATATTTCATAGATCGATTCATTTGCATTATATGTCACACCGCTGTGTTGATGAATGATCAAAACAAGTATTTTGTCTTGATTCATCATTGGCTTTGGAATTCATTCCTTTTGATCACATATTGTTCACTATCATGTTTTAAAATGCGTGTGATCGGGCTGATGCCGACTTGATGTGTAATTTACGTGCATTTGAACCCTTATCGCACATGTTCATTCCGTGTGCAATATCTTTTGATCCGAGGCTCATTTTACGAAACAGATTGCGCGAGCGCGTCTGGATCGTTGAGATCTTTTAAATGAGCCTATTTGCGCTCAAATCAAACATTGTTTCGCACATGTCTAGGAGAGATATTGAGATAATTATTATTATTGTTATCGTTATTTTTGGACATGTATAATATAAAATATAATAATAAATATATATTTTCTAGTTAATTTGAAATTAAAAAAGTTAAATTTAGATTGAAATTTAAAATATGATATTGTATATGTGATTGATTTAAAATTAATGTAATGAGTTAGATTCATATTAAAATTAAATAGACACATGTACCTACAACAACAACAACAACATCAAGCCTTTATCCCACTACGTGGGGTCGGCTACATGAATCCTTTTTCTCCATTGTGTCCTATTAAAAGTCAAATTCTCGTTTAAATCTAATAAAGAAAGGTCAT